AGACAATACCTTCTTGGTCTCTTATGACTGTCTCTTTAAATGCTGCACTCACAGCCTGCAGCTAATAAGGGCCTTTCCTTCCAAAAGAAAAGAGAGAGTAAGAAAATAATTGATTTTATCTTAGCCAGAGTGGACTGCAATCACATATTGGGTTATTGGCATGATGGATAGACCTGGGTTTCCCATTGTGCCTAATTTGCTAAGGATTGCCATCCCTTGACCACCAAAGGATCTCACTCTAGAGTGAGGCATGCTTAGAGCTCTGCTGAGCTCTAAGCTCTCCAATACAAACAGATAGCCTTCACACTACAATTTACAGAGGCCTACAAGGAGGACACCACTGGAAATAACTGTTTTTCCTTGACTGAAAAAATTAAGACCTGCCATCACATCAGAGTTCTGAAAGCTTCCATGATGAGACAGGTCAGAGAGAGGATACTTACAAGTGTTCCTAATCTGATTTTAGCAGCTGAGGGTAGCAGACTGTAGAGAAAGAGCAACGCTAGGACTGTTCATCTCTACAGACATTTGCCCTAACTCTCAGAAGAGCAGGTGCAAAGGCAAGTGTAAAGCACAGAGTCCTGGTTCTTACCCTTGAAACAAATGGGCAGTTTATGTTCTAAAACCAGGAGTACCTTAAAGCAAATCAACTCGTCTAATACCAAAGGATAGAAAGTAGCACTCAATCATTTCTATTTCAGCTAATAAGGGTAAATCTTCTACAGTCTTGACTAACAGAAACATCTGCCAACTATTCCATGCACCACCACCCCCCTCCCAATGCTAGAAAGAACAGAAGGTTAGGCTGTCATTCCCTTCATTTCCTTTAATTTAAAACTCATTAATAAACTTTAAGTAGTTGGGGATCTAGCCAGCACTGAAACCCATGCAATTATATTTACAATAAATATCTTCTATCTTGGAGCTACACACACAACAGGACAGTGCTTAAAACACTGTGATAAAGGTGCTAAACTCAAGTACTAAAAATAAAGGAAGAGGAAGTAGTCCATTCATCTTTGGGGGGGGGTGGGGAGAGAAGAGGACACTGTACTGCACAGCAATTAAAATCTGAACCATTGCAAGAATAAAGGGAAAAATCAAGGCAAGCTTGAAGAAAGGAAGAGAGAAAATAAAACAAACACAAAAAACATACCACAAAAATTCAAACCCACAGGAAATATCTGATGTACTAGTCCTATTAATAGCATAAAAGTTACTGGCAGATACTATCACTCAGCATTTTATTAATTAACTGAAGATACACAGATATAAGGGGCTTGAAAGTACAAAGAACGAATGGGCTGCACAAACTGGCTCTCTGCAAAGAACGCAGTGTGCTTCCTACAAGGATACACTGTCTAAATTAGGCAGCAGCACTTTCTGAGTCAAACAAAATCTCTAGTTAAACAAATTGTAGCGTCCCCACCACCACTCATTCACTTTTTATGTGTGTATGTCTATGATTTTCCATGAAATTGGTAAAAACAACCTATCTGAAAGGCTTTTACAAAGAAAGACTGTAAAACTTAGTGCATGTGAGCTCCTAGGAAAATGACACACTTCTGTGAAAATGGATTTTCAAGATATCTACTTGGATTTCTGTTTTGGTTTAGTTTTTAACCCATCAGCATTATGCCCAAACAGTATTTCTTCACGCAGAAGCATGCAAATAATTTTCTTTCCCTTCACAAAAGGCTCTATGAACCTAACAAATAAACCAATGTTGACATACCTAAGCCTAGGGATTTATTGCACATTGGGGATTCTCTCTTCTGGAGACTTGTTGACAAATACTCAGACAGGCTCTGTGTCTTTGGCAAGATCCATGTGTAACATTTTTTTGCCTGATCTGTGCCATCAGTCATGACCAGGTAGCACAGTAATTCAGTGTAAGGAGAGAATACTAAAAAACTGTTTCCACATCTCATTGCCACTTATACATTGCTATGTTAGTCACCATTTTCTATCATTTCCTTCAGAAAATACTGCAATTCAGAAAAATACCAAGCAACAGCAATATATCTTCAATTTGAGTTGTAAATAATGGTTGACTTTGTTCTGATTTGCTTTTCAAAGCACCCTTTTGCAACATGACATTGCCTACAATGTCTGGTTAAAGGATTTAAATTTGTTCAATAAAGAAACAAGAATTGGCAGTCAGAAGCTTTTAGAAATAAATTGGCATTCATGGGCTGTGGGAAGCTTTGCAAATACTCGGTATTTATAGACACTTTTTTTTCCCCCTAGATGTAGAAGAGGAAAGAAATTATAACAAACAATATATTTAACACATGTTGTCATTTGTTATTTTCCAAAATGTGAAAATAATCAGAAATTCATTAACAAAACTATTAATTATTTTAATAAATCCAATTACATGCATTCTACAGTTCACTGTTCCTACTGCTCTTCTTTGCAAAGCACAGACAAAACATGCATACATGATACACTTGTTTTTTTCATTAGAAGCAATCACTCTTGAGTCAGCTAAGTTCAAAATTTACCTTCTGTTTCAACGGAATTATTCCTAAAAGTTAAACACTAAAAGAATTTCTTTTTTTCCAAAATAAGGAAGCTTCAGCAAGTTAAGTACATGCTGACCCCACTTAAGGATCACTGCTGTAGCAAGGTCTCATATCCAATAACTTCAAGAAAAAAAATGCACCATTTCTTATCCACTACAGAAGAAGCCTTTTCTCTCTGCTAAGGAATGCCTTGTGGAACAAATGACATCAAAGGCCGCAGGTGTAGTCAGAAAAATCAGCACATATAACACATATTTAAGGAACATACAATTAGCATTTCCCAGTATTAACTGCAGCAGTGTATAAACCCTTCACATGAAGAGCTGAGTGTTATAAAATTCAGGGAGTTTAGAATAGTTGAGCTCCACATTTTAAAAAAATTTCTGCAGCTACCCACCCAGCCTACATTAGTGAAACAAGATGCAACTTTCAGTGACCAAAGTTTCTGAAACTGTTACCAAAATTTCAGGGGAGAAGAGGGAATCGGGTCTCAGGATCCACAGATTTTTATTGAAAATGGTTTTGGTGGCAAAATTTGTAAATATGTTTCCTTCAGCTTTTCATTCCACAGCGGGTATAATAAAAACCTTGAGGTTTAATATAGAAGTGTTTTTTAGTGTGGAAACATAATGTAGCTCTACACTCTCTTCCCAGTGCCCTCTTAACCTGGGGGACTAGCTAAGTGCCTAAAGTGAAATGTTTGTTGAAGGAATGACCTGATGCTCTACAGAAATAGATAGCATAAACCAGGCCTCGAAAAGTTTCCCTGCAAGACTAAGTCAGCTTCTGCTGAAAGAAGTTTTGAAAAATTCAATCTTGGACCATTACATAGGTCCTCTCATCCCAGGTGTTGCAGCTTTCCTCTGGCACTGTCCCATATTGATTATAGGCCAACTTTAGTGCAGTCTACTGCCAGAACAGATAGTTCCACAATTCCACCTGAAAGCTTTTTTCTTTCATCTATTTAGGTTTTGAGCTGGAAAGGGATTTGTTTTCAGGCAGATCAGTTCTCGATCCAGCTCACCAGATGGCAACATAAAAAAAAGGTGGCTGTGCAAGGAAGGGAACGGGAAGGTGCAGCCAGACATGATGAAGGCTTTTCAGGGCCAGGCAGTTGGCTTAACAAGCTTGCAAAACCCTTAGTTTCTTCTTAGCCTTCTCTGCAGCACCATAGTTAAAGGATCCTACAGATTTTTCCCAGTTGAAACCCTTAGTTCTAGAGAACAGTATTATCACTCTCCAACAAATATCAGGCATGATTTTAGAGAGAGAGAGAGAGAGACATAATCCTCCACACCACAGTTTCTGTTTCAGGAGACCACCTTTCAAACCTCAGAGCTGAAGGACATTTAAGTGATCTGATAATTTCATTCTTTAGCTTCTAGAGGAGAGCTTCATCTTCATCAGGGGTCAGATGAAATGAGATGACATCTCTTCACTAATTTGGAACCATTTAATAGCAATTTAATCTGCTAAGCATTGTCCTCTTATGGAGGACAGCTCCCTCTTCCTTTCACAGTCTCAAACCATGCACAAGGACTGAAACCAAAGAATAGAAAACTGCTCTAGCCATGTTCATATTCCCTCTGGAAATGAGCTGGCATAGGGCCTTCCACACACTGCATATGCACTGTAGCCTCCTAGTTGGTAAGTCAAGGGGACAAGGGTGCCAGCACTGCCATTTATTTAATCACATTTTTATTTTATTTTCATTCTTTCTTTTCTTTTTTTTTTTTTTTGAACCAATGTATGAGCAGATCTGAAATTAATTTACTAATAATTTCAGGATGACTTAAATACTTTTTAGTTTCCACACCAAAACACCAATAAGTAATAATTGCCTATTACACAGCATATGTGAGAGTACAAGTCGTCATTATCATTATGAACTGTCCTTCGTCTCTTCCTAGTACCTCCAAATTACAAAAATTTTGTCAAAAATGTATCTTAAAGTAAGGCATCCAGATTCCTTTTATTAATATGTCAGTGTTATAAATTCTTAGTAAATTGTTATTCAGTAGGGCGTCTGGATGATTAAAACCTTCTGGGCTTCGGAAGGCATTTTCTCTGCAGGAATTTGTCAAATCCTGTTCAGTTCACTATTGGGAGCACTTAAAAGACAAATAATATTACATAAAATCTGGCCACTGTAGATGCATTTCTGCCATTTTAATGAGTCTCTCTCCCTTTCAGACAACAAAATCATCACCTTCCAGAAGGTAAGGAAACAATTAAATGCCTATTTAATAGTCACCTTTTCCTGAAGTATTTTCCCTAAAATATACTGGTAGTTAGCACAGGTGGTATAATTTCGTTTATATCTTGATAAAGCTACACAAGTTTTCAAGGCAAGACAGACAGAGAGAGATTCCTGCCATTTAAATACTACCAGATACTGAGGAAATTGGAAGAGATCTCCAGGACAGAAATAGCATCATTAAGCCAAAATAAGCCAACCACATTATCACCTACCTTACGTTTGTTTGTTGGGCAAACGTACAAGTAGCTCAAAATAGTCTTCAGACCAACTTTATCATTCAGTTTCTCATATGTTGTCCCATAATCTGTTGACCTACAATTCAAAAGAGATTTTTATAAGTACAAACACTTAATCACAAAACCACAAGTCACTTGGCAGCTTTTCAATATAAGTCATGCTTTAAATAGCAGAATGGCTCTCTAGAGCTTTTTCAATGATTCATGTAGTATATAATGATACTTAATTATATACACATAGCATCATGTGAGTGTTTATAATTTGCATTTAAATTAGATTAGGAAAAATTAAAGCAGCATCTTCCCAAAGCATTTTAAAATAAACATGTGCAATAAGAAATGCTAAATTTTGCATATAGAAGATTATAATGATTGTCAGAAATGCCAAATAGCAGACAGCAAGAGACTAAGGTTATCAATTCATCTTATACTCCAAGCTTAGACTAATTTTGTTAAGACGTTTTTACTGTATTCCAAAGTAGCTGCTCCACCTGATTGTTCAGTGAAATTACAATTCTGTTTTCTGCAAAAATCATCAATGTCCTTTTGAAAACCTAACTACATGAACATTACACCTACAATTTATACGTTGTTTGTCTTGTTGTGGGAGGTTTTTTCACACTGACTAGCAGAGAGCATGAACACATGCTTTATTCTTCCTTTAAAAGCCACCGTTCAGTAGAGAAAATACAATATTTCTGGTATGAGGATTTCCCATAAAGACAGTGACTACATGGCTTGGGGAGGAACAAAAGACATGAACAAGCAAGACTGTGCAGAGTTCCTATGACATGTACTCTTAACATGTGACTGGAACCTGGAATAATCATCAGCAGAGGTTTTATTCGTTATGCGGCTCATGCTTGTCTGAATTCTGCCCCTGCATCCTGGGGATTTAGATAATCAGTCCAAACCAGTACAGTTGGTACTCTCTACTGGTTTGAACTGTATCCATAAATTGCAGAAAAAAGACATGTATCTGGGTAGCAGAGACTTTTAAAAGCACAACATTCCCGTATCTCATCTGTAACATGTACAAATGGCTCCATATGGAACTTCACTTGCAAGCAGTTACATCCTTTGTGCTAAGCACTCCAAAACCACACATTCTAAAGTAGATTCTTGGCACCCATTATTTGCAAGTTCTTTTCTATCTGGCCAACAATTGCTAAATTTACAAAGGTATTTAAGACACTTAATGGGGGTTTTTTGTGGGTTTTTGGGTTCGTTTGAATATGAATATTGAATAAGTTTCTGCATCAGGTTCCACATCTACATTCATACCACAGCTTCTGGAATTTCAGGTTTTGCAATCACTACATGAATAAAACAAGAAAGCAGCAGCTTGGGGTTTTATCCATTAAAGATGAATTGCACTAAAATGCAGATTTGCATTAAAATTGAGTCTTTCTATTCAGCAACTTTATGGAAGCCTTTGCACATATCTGCCTGCTCATATAACAACTGACATATGATTTGCATCCATAGATTTCTCCTTTCCCCCCAATAAACACATGTACATGTGTGTGCATATATGACCTTTGGTGTTTGGAGCATTAACGTCAAATTCTCACCTGATGATTGATCTTTCCCTTTATAAGGTCATCTCTCTCAGAGCAGATATAAACTGAGCTTTTCCTCAGTGGACTGAGCAGTAGGATACTGTTATGATCGTTGCTGTTACCAAATATTTCAGAGATGCTCCAGCACTGAGGTGAAGGGATCCACAGCAGGATGCTGAACACAGTCTTGCCAAGGACTGCTGCTTCACTTTGTTGTCTTGTCCCACCTCACTACCCAGTCTTCTCAGAAATTAGTATTTCTGTTACTGCCTGCCTAAAACCCCAAACCTACCCTTTCTGCGAAGTTTGAGCTGATAAAGACATGTAAAGACTGTAAGGACTAAATCTGACCTCTGGAGTTAGGAAAAATACAATAATGAAATAATACAGCTCTTTTTTATACCAGTGACAGTGAATTCAAAATGGGATCTTTCGAAAGGGGATGGGAGCAAAGAAAATCTGAGACATAAAACTTGCTTTGAAGTTGTTCAAGAAAAGCAGCCAGTACCCCTGCCAAAGCACAGGCAAACTGATGTCAACAGCAAATGGTAATCTTAGTCAGAATTGCCAGCCACTTCTTTCTTCAAATCTCTAGGCAATTATTTTGCATTCATAGCTTTATTTACAGGTAACACTATATACAGATGAAGCATATGCTTTTGTCAACATCTATAAAAGAAACTGAAAGATTGGAAAGCTTAGAAAAACACTATTTTTTGCAGAAGAACAAATTCACAAGCAATCAAAGGAGCTACTATTAGATCTTACTCTCATTATGAAGTTCCAAACTGACAAATAGCCAGTCCTTCTACCTCCCTAGTTACCAGTTGTTTCTCTTGGACCACTTTACAATTACCCTTTATTTTAACAGGGAGGTAAATGCTACATATACAACAGTAGATAGGAAGCCAGAAGTGCTTTAACACAAAGAAATGGTAATAGATACACACACAGAGCAGTGGAACAGAAAAAATTGTATCAAATGAAACACTGCATATATGTGAAGTCTCTGTCGGGATCTAACCCAGGAGTATCACCAACCTGCATTCATCTTACTCCTATTATACACATATGTATACAAGTAGGAATTGATTAGCAGCCTAGATAATGAGCTTTTTGTTTGTCTTATTAAATGGGTGTATAAAGCAGCATGAGAATCCTAACCTATGCAAACATATCAGCTGTTTGACAATCCAGGAAGCCAGTCTAACCGGGAAGGGCTGCAAAAGACATATGGACCTCAGCAGGGTGTAGGCACTAATGACAGTGTAGGATCAACAAATTCAATCCCAGTCATCTGAAGGGGAATGGATAGGTACCAAACAACATCTCCCACACTTGTTGTGGAAGGCAATGCTTCTGTGAAGCTCTGCAAAGAGAACTCAGCTTTAGTCCATCTCTGTAATGCGAGTGGAGCAAGCAAATGCTTGTCTAAATCATGGGAAAGGATTAAACCCAGGACCTGTGGAGCTGGAAACACTATCTTTGATCCATCTGCTGAATAGCCACAGCTACTGAAACAGATATATGTAAATGGTGAACAGTAAGCCCTATTTTATTGTCTCTAGTGTGGACATGTGTGATGCAATGGTTTCCCAAATTGTGTGGGGGAGTATGTTCAGATCTGTGTTAAGAGATTGCAGATGTTACTGAAAGGCAGATGACAGTAGAAGAATAATATTCAGGAAAAAAAAGTATTTAGCTCAGTTCTGAACTTCACACCTGTCCCACCATATTAGTTGTAATTGCTTCCATTAAATCCCAGATTTTATCAGCAGCTGTTTAAAATCCGACTCCCTACTTTTTCAGTAAAGCAGAATGATTTCTGCAAACACCCAAGCAGATAAACATTTTCATTATTACTAGCTCATTTCACAGTATAAAAAAATACCCCAATTCTAGGATTGAAACTCTGACTTTCCCAGTAATAAACTAAAACAAAACTAGAAACAGATAGGGTAATTTATATTTTGCAAACTATTCGCAAGAAAGCTGACATTTAAATAACTTTATTATTATTCATTGACAGGGTTTTTCCCTCTCCTCCCGTCAGGGTAAATGACATTTCTATTACAGTATTATAATAAACTCCTACACATTTTAAATAAAGTCACTGAATTTCATTAGTCCACCTACTGTCATGAATATATCTCAATCCATTTCTACCAATATTTCACAATTATAATAGGCAATCTGAATCAACCAGTAACATGAACCCTATGCTTCTCAAGAAGCACAGACTACCATTCAGAGAACTGTCAGTTTGAATATATAGATTAAATAAATTCCCTAGCAAGTTGCTGTTTACTCTCCTTTGTTACAAATTTAAGGTTGCCTGTACTTATTTTACATAAGCTGGTGAAGATTTGAAGAATCAAACAATCGATCATGTGGTCAAGGAGGGGTATTTTGCATCAAGATCTTTCTGGAACACTCCATGAGAAAAAAAGAAAAATATTACTTGCAGATCTTAAGCTGCCTCATGCCTCCTGCCTATTACAGTACAGCTTTCCTTCCCTGTTAACAGACTAAGTTTCTTGTTATAACACACATCATTAAGAAGCAATCACTTTAATTGGCACCACTTACCTTTTTTTTTTTTCCTTTTCCCACCCATTACGTCTGGTTTTCACATATTAACTCGACTGCTTCCCTCACCTCCACTATGAGAACACTGTCTATGTTTCACGTCCTTACCCTCTTTCCTCCACAGTTTAGTTTGTTGTTCTAACCATGGTCCAAGTGGCAGCTGGCCCTGGGAGGCAGGACCAGAAACACCTGTAATGTGGTTAGGGAGCAGCAGAGCAGGGCAGCCTGTCATGACCAGGAGCAGTGTGAAGAGATGAAATCTAGCCTGTTTCTCCTGCACAGGAATTCACCTCTGGCAGAAGTCAAGTATTTTAAGTAAGGAACAGCAATGACTATTAAATCATTTTTTTCCAACCTCCCACATAACTAAGTTTGCCATCTGGTTTGGCTCCGAAGGTACAGAAGATGTGATGTAGGGTGAGATGTGAGGCTTGCTGAAGCCATAGTGGTTGGGTTGTACTGAAACCTGTGTATGTGCTTAGTGCAGCCCCAGATCATAATAGGAGTGTGGATGGCTAAGAAATGGTGACCTGTGCCTACAGCTTGTGTAAGAGGTTTAGTCGTGTGGCTACAGATTTTGGAAGGCCCTTTACTAAATATGTGCAAAGGGATGGATGGTCCTTATTTTGTATGTGATAGAGACAGAGGGACAGGTATTCTCTGCTTATGTATGTTGGTAACCTGAGTTACTAAATCTCAACTGAAACAGCAGAGAAGGCAAGTTAGCCGATTTGAGCACAAGATTTGCCAGTTGCTACTGTATTAATCTCTACATGAGCAGATTTTTGGAAAGAAGCCTTTCAGACTGCAGAAGGCAGAGCTGTGGAGCCGCAGTCTGCACTAACAAAGGGCTTTCAATTGAACAAGTTTTTAAATAAAGGAATAATTAAGACATTAAAAATGATCTTTCATGTCTGAATGTGAA